AAAGCGCTTTTCTCGGGACTTAAAAATTGTTTAAAAAATTAAAAAATTATTTCTAACATCAGAACTCTTCGGAAGGCGTTAGAATACATCCGTAGCTACACGAAATGTATAATATCTCGCACAGAACTCTCAGATTTCGACCAGCGTCTCATACATATACCCTGAAAAGCGCTTTTCTCGGGATTTAAAAATTGTTTAAAAAATTAATAAATAACTTTTATCATTGGAACTCTTCGGAAGTCGTTAGAATACATTCAGTACTTCACGAAAATTATCATAGAACTCTCAGAACTGTCGAGAATTGGTCAGGGTCTTATTTTTATTGCTGAAAATTAAATTTTTGGATTTAAACATTAAATTGAAAATGACATTGTTTATCGCCAGAACTCTTTTTAAAACTTATGTAGAACTGTTTGTTTTTCAAAATCCTACAAGAATCTGTGGTTAAAAATTGTCTAGGACAAAGTGAGACGCTGCGTGAACCTGGCGTCTCAGTTTGTACTTTCGCTTTTTTTCCACTTTAGAGGGCAGAACTATTAGTTTTATCTATCAGGAACTATAGAACTATTGAAAATACATTCAGAACTCTCAATATTTCATGAGCTTCCACCAAATGATACGCCAGCTTCACACACACTCGACAGTGTTCCCTAGATTTTGTTGAGTAGTGTATAAGAATGATATTTCAGATCATGGATGAACTCAAACAACACATGCATGTTTAAATTTAAAATTTTCATGATGCCTACATAATATTTTTCGGACATTCATGTTGTTTTGCAAATAGATGAAAGGAGAGGATTATTACCATTTTGTATTATTAAAATAATTTAATATATAATACATTCATGTAAAGTTAGTAATTAATTATACTTTTAAAGTTTGTTAACTATAGAGAGAATTATGCTATATCGTAAAAGTTTATTAGACTATTTTACGCGCACTATTTTAAATTAAAAAAAACTGAATAAGGAAAAGATTGTGAAGAGGAAATATGGAGTATTATATAAAAACTAAGTATTATATATAAATACAACTTTATGCGGATATATATGCATTTCATTACCAAAAATTTAATTATCATTTGAAAGCTATGTATATATATGGCTTTCAAATGATAATTAAATTTTTTTTTAAGTTAGACTAAAGTCTAAGTTAAACTGAATACAAAATTATTACCAATATACATATATATCAAAATTACGTAAAGAGTACACATCTGTGAAACTGTTTACTGTAACATCTACACTGAGAAAAATAATGTTGTTTTTCTCAACAGCATTTTTTTCAGTATACCTGTTAAACTGATACCTTTTACGACAACGTAAAAAACACTGATCACATTTACACGCTCGATTTACGCTAAAATTACAACATCGATGTTAAGAAACTAGCCAATCACAGTTATTTCATTTTTTAAAAGAATAGTTACGATTGATCAGTTTCATAAAATCGATGTTATAATTTCGGGGTAAATCGAAATTGTGTAAACATAGTCACAAATGGCCACATTACATATAATGTCTAAGTAGATTGTAAAGAAATAATTTCAATAGCCACCCTTAAAATGCAACACAAACTGTACAAAATATCGTAGTATTCCATCCTCTTTCATCTATTTCATAACTTCTTTATTTCCTTTATAATAATTGTTTTTCAGGATGAGTCACTTTTTAAAAAAAGCGTCAAGTCGCGATCGGAAATACGATAAAAAAAATAATTTCAATAGGAATAATCATCGAGTGGAAAGAAACGTATTTATTTTTCGCTTCTGATCGATCACAACAATATGAAGCGATGATAAATTAAAAGCTATTTTTTCATGCAAATTGTTCTAGTCATTTAATATTTTATGCTTTGCATTCGAAGTTTATGTTTCATAAAGCCTGATTGTGTATAAGCGTATTTTAATTATGTTGATTATGTTAAGGTGATTCGGTGAAAAAAAAAAGCAAAAGGGATGAAAGATTCATTTTCAGACGTCGTCGATGGTTATTAGCATCGTAATACTCGGCGGTGATGGTGGTGGTTGAAAGCACCGCTTATAAACGACAGCGGATAGACAAGCAGATCAGTTCGGTGTTAGTTCAGCGAAAAGATTCGATCGTATATTCGTGACAACATATATACACGTAAGGTGGGTGTCAGAAGAGAAGATAAACTGAAAAAAGGAAACAATCCAGCTTTCGAAATGACTGATCATCCGATTAAGAAGATATCTAATAAGATACATTTTGCTTGATTCTTTTCGTGCCTGTGATAAACATAGTGAGACTGCAGGATATATCAATTTTCTTAGTCTACGGAGAATTTAAGAGTCCTAGTGCCTTAATATAGTAAACCCGTCTAACGACACATGTTATTTATAGCGGAAAATAATTACAGGAAAAAGTAACATACCTAATTTCGAAACGACTTTCGAACGCGTGAAAAGTTTATCGTCAAGTTTTAGGGAGAGGAAAGAGTGTGATTTTTTGTTCAGACCAGTTTGTTCTATCAATTTTTCATATATCTATCCTATCTTTAAGACACTCTCTCAACGCGCAGAATTCAAGAAGTTCGAATTGCCAATCAAGAAGATAACAGGTGGTTGAGAAATCCTACAATTATCATTTTTAACACTTTGACTGCTGCACAGATTTTTGTTATTTGACTGATCATACTCTATTATTTTGTGCTTAATTTTTATAAAATAAGTATAAATTGTGTATATATATATATATATACGTGTGATCTAAAATATTTTTAATTTAAGTTTAATATTTCTAAACGTTTGATCTGCATAAAAGAAAGTTACACGCAGCATTGAGATAAATATCCTGCGCCGTGATATATAAATGTAAATAAATACAAATACATTTATTATTCGTCATAAATTCGTAAAAAAATGTTTTTATGATATAATTTTAAGTAAAATTTTAATTTTTTTTTATTAAAAATTTCATTTAATTCAATTTCATTAAAATAAATTTTTAATAAAATATGTTCTTTTAAATAAAATTTTACGGCTGAATTAATAGGCCTCTTCGGAAAATTCCTAATATACTATATAATATTAATGTAAAATATTCTCCGTTTACATACAAATAGTAGTAAGAATAGTAGAAAACGTCTATGTATCCAAAATGTTACACGTGGCTTGAACCTATATAGGTATGCATCCAATTTTGACTGCGATACTTTTTAAATTCTGTTTTGGAGTGCAATTTCAATCTGAAGAGTGAAAATTAAATCAATCTTGAAAAATATGGATCAATTTTCAATTTTTAAAAGTGAGATTTTATTCTTCAGGGTGAGAAAACTTTAAAAAAAAGAATTTAGAGAGTACAATTCATGCCGACAGTTCTTATATTAAAGATCAGTCTAATTCCTTAATGCGCGAACGACGTTGATATACATGAAAATCGATCTATCCCGGCCTTTTGGCGTTTCTGATTTTTCCTTTTTTCAGTAATATTTCATGTTTTGAAGGATGATAATTAGATAAATAGTGATTTGATCGAACATTTCTTCTTTTTAAGAAATCATGTCAGCGACGGAACCAGAAATAATGACTGGGTCAGTTGCCGCCGCAGCGTCTAATGGTCTATCATCTGCCATTTTCCTGTCTCTCTTGGTACCGGCTTTGATTCTATACTACATCTACTTCAGGATTTCACGCCGCCATATGATCGAGCTGGCGGAAAAAATCCCGGGTCCGGATGGCCTACCGTTAATTGGAAATATACTATTGCTCCTAGGAAATTCGGATAGTAAGGCGATAATATAAAGATATAATGACAGAACAAACATATGTGAAATCCATATCTTGTAATTCGGTTATTTAATTTAACTCAGATTATTCAATTAATCTCAGGTAAATGAACTCTTTAATCTCAATGTTGGTTCACTTCAAAACTATTCTAGTTTTGAGATAGATCAACCCTAAAGTTGAACATTTTTGTTGACTAATTTTTTGAAAGACTTCCTTATTTTTGCTATAATAATCAAAAATAGCAAAGGAAATTCTCACGAGTAAAAGTAGTTTAGATCGCGTTAATAGATCGCGAACATTCTAGATAGTGTCAACTAACACCGTTCCAACATTCGCCACAACTTCGAGATTGGATTAGAAGTTAATTTGACGATTACGTACCTTTTTTGTGTATCTTTCATGCTCCCTATTATTAGGCAGCACTCATCAGGTAGCTTAGATTGGATAACCGAGTGGATTTGCACTGCGCAATTAACATGTTCATGTAACTTTCGATCACGCATCCCTGTGTCTCTGTGTTGCAGCCGTATTCCGTACTTTTTATAGGAAGTCCTTTGAGTACGATCAGATAATTAAAATTTGGCTCGGGCCAAAGCTGCTAATTTTTCTAATGGACCCGCGTGACGTTGAAATCATCTTGTCCAGCCATGTCTACATCGACAAATCCACTGAGTACCGATTTTTCCAGCCCTGGCTCGGAAATGGTCTCCTCATCTCTACTGGTACGTATTATAATTACATCTTGTCGATATCTCGAAGTGCGTTGTTAGTGGTATATAAATTAATTTCCCAGGTATATAATATGCATAAGAATATGCTATCCTCAAGCTGGTAATTTTTATTTAACTCGTTAAAGTTTTGTCAACTATCATCAGAAGGATAGAGGTAAAAAGAGAGATATGTAACAGTGAAAAATATTTTACGCAAAATTAATTGAAAGTTATAAATGCGTATCATTTTATTGCCTTGTTAACATGCCTCTGAAAAACTGTATTATTTGTGTAACATAAAATGCAACAATTAATTGGCAAATGACTCTTTCTTTTGCGAGAAAGTCATAAACAACACGAGACGGTTTTGTATATTTTCCTCCATCGTGTTTTGCACTTGAATGTTACGTTCGGAAAATGCTGGGTATCTCCTAATGTCGCTTAATTTATTCGTATGAAAAATTTTGTATGATAATTTTGAAACGTATTATGTTGTAAAATAAAAAAAATTATATGTGTATATGTACATATGTATATATACATAATAAAAATTTTTTATTATATTAAGAAATATATATATAGGTATATAAGATTATATCTTGATAAAATTTTATCAAGTTTCATTTTAAATGTTAACAACTACCACTATCCAAATTTAATTCATTTCAAGTAATTATGAGATTAAATTTAAATTATTTATGTGCAATTGAATTTTAATCAAATGCTTCTCTTTTGCAATTAATGATTTTACAAAAATATATACTCAGTCAAAAATTTGACTGAGTTTGTGTTTTTAGCACAATTTTTCTTATAAGCAATAAACATAAAAACCATGTTTCGACTTTTTTTCTCAATATGAGTGTTCTTTCCCTAAGCATAATTAAATTTACGAAGAACCAATGAAATAGAGCTCTGTGTCAGAGACTTTACTTATGTATCATTTTATCCTTGTTTAACATTCGGAAATAAAATAATTAAGATACAAAAATACATGGATGCATTTGGATAAACGTAATCCTCAAAACAGGTTACTCTTTATCACGAGCAAACAAAAACCTATGAGATGCAGAATGCGCGCGGACTCCGTATGCAACAACGATCGTCGACTATGCGCCAACTTTTATCGTTGACTTTCTCGGTATCGCAAGTGAAGGTCCTTTTTCTCATTGACGGAACTCTCTCGCTGAGGCGTAACAGCGCAGCATACACGTAACGACGCATGCTACCACCTTGGTTAATTCACGCGCCTCGTCATGACATCCGGCAAAGGCGTCATGCATACCACACACATTTCTTTTCTTTCTTTTCTTCCTCTTCCCTTTTTCTCCTAGATCACTTCGCGCGAGTTTGTTTAACGGCTGGTTGTATAACGATCACATAATTCAGCTGTTATCGGCTTCTCGTAACTGCACTTGGTTGCTGGATCACGCGCGCGATCGAGTTTTGCAATTCGGTGAAATGAGAGAGCAACTAGAGAAAGTAAGAATTGATCGAATAGACAAAAGGTCAAATAAATTGAAACGTTTCTTCGTGCAGTAAATTAATATATCTTCCGTGCTGCATAAATACAATTCAAGAAAAAAAGATAGGCGATGAATATGCTTACAAGACGTTCTTGCTGAATTCGACGATTACGAAAAACTGGTATCTAATCTATCTATAATTTAAGAAACTGCAGGTCTGTTGACAAGCTAATATATTAGTACGCATGAAATTACAGACAACGTGTTCAAATAAACGCTCAGTGAATCATTATGTCCGTTTCTTACAGTACCTATCGAGAAAGTCGACGATAAAAGTTGGCGTATAATCGACGATTGTTATTACATCGAATTGTTACGCACGTGCATGGATTTTATTTCAGAAAGGAACGGTTTCATTAAAATATTTAAAACTTTAATTATACAGACAGATCTGAAAATAATCCTGTTAGACTATTATAATAAGAGACTCAAGCTGATTACTAGAATGTCAAAACTTTTATAATATTATTCATATAGACTCGAGTTTCTTGGAATTATTTTGATGATTCAACAAAATTATTTCATTTCATTATTTGTATTTAGTTAAATTTTGTAATGCTTCAGCAAAATCATTCTTTGTATAATTAGTTGCGTATTTAAAATTGTTTAAAATGCACATCTTAAAATGCACATAAAATAAATAAATTACTGTCAATATAAAGTGGTGTAAACCAATCACAAAGCCATATTAGCATTAAAAAATATTATTTAAAATGGTTATTTAAACTTGCAGTGAGAAGGACTTTGATCAGTATTCATAGTCGATTTTTATATTTAAAAGATTTTTTTGAATATATAGATATACAGTCTTAAAATATATCTTGAATACAATAATAAGCCAGTTACAGAGCTATATTAACATCTTAAAATTAATTAAGATAAAGAGGTGTCAATATATAATCAAAGTTAGATATTATAGACTATTATATGTATATATTATATATGCATTTAAAAAAAAATTATCAGAAATGACTGCGCACCGATTACTTTCGGTCTTTCAACACAATCAATTTGAAATATTAATAATCCTCCAAAATTTAATAAAATAATTTAAGATCTTTGACTTAATACTAAACTTAATGCTGACTTAGCATCTGAAAACAAAATATTGCGAAAAAATTTATCTCGACCTTTGTATTTAGTTGATTTATTTAAATTTAAATTGTTTTTATGATCTTAATATTGTTTACTTAACATGGTTTCTTAACTTGAGATATGAATACCATCCTATGAATATGAATTATAGATGTGTTTTACTTGTTTACAATGATAAAAAATCTTTAAATAGCATATCAAATTAAACGTAATTTTAAGATCAATAGATCTGTTCCATATGCATTTTTTACATAACAAGTATCTCGCGATGTGTACCGATAAAAAAATGAGTGAATACGATCCATACGATACAGATCAATATAATAGTGTTCCAGTAATTTGCAAACATTGGAGCTATGTTGCTGCAAGTTTTTAATATTATAGGAACTTGCCAATTAAAGATTATCTCTCGGCTTTCTTGCTTTATTTAATTCTTAAACTGAAGGAGATTTTATGCGTCTGGTAATTTGACCATTCTTTTCTGGTTTTTTTTTTTGTTACAAAGAATTGATATCTTGGATAAATTTAGACATTCAGAAAATTTAGATTTAAACTGATTTTTTTCGGGGAAATAAATTTGAACAGTTACGTGAAGAAATCACGTCGAAACTCTCGATAGTGAACATCGAAAATCAGCAGGTAGAACACAAAATCATAAAATCAAGATGACATTAAATAAGTAGTCATTTTAGAAAAAAAAAAAAAACGTGATAATGTTATTCGACACTTTTGGCAATAATTTTATGATGAATGCATGATATGATAATAATTTTTAAGTAAAAAATCATGATGTCAATAGTGATTTTTTAGTTAAAAATTATCACATGTCAAGAATTTATCAATTCATCACAAAATTATCGTCAAAAGCGTATCGAATTACGTCATTATGATTTTTCTCGAAATGATTTTAACTTAAATGTTACCTTGATCTTATTATGATTTTGTGTTCTGGCAAGTCCTACGCCTATGCGCGTGGCATGTGTCGCACAAGACACACAACACACTTGCACTTAGAAATAGCGACGCGGGGGAGAGAGGATCGGAGAGTGAAATGCAATCAGTCCGAGTAATCCATGGGACGCAAAACAGGAAGGAAATTTGCACGAGCGCTGGTGCTTTCTCTCCTTAGCTCCGTTTTCCCACACATAAGCGCGCATCGCGGTCTTTCCGTATATCTCTCGTTGCACAATTACGACGATCTCTGTCTGTCTAGGTTTGTTCTTTATCGCTGCACTGGACTGCACTTTCTATCTTGCTTTCGCCAAACTTCAAATATATGCACGGAAAGGACGGTTTTGCTGAGGCAAAAAATTAAACAATCAAAAAATTTAACTAGATACAACAGATCCACAAAAATACATTTGTTGGATTATCAGAATAATTATGTAAAACTCTCAAACTGATGCTGAAATGTTAGAATTTTTTGCAACGTATTGCTCATTTCTATGTAATTATTTTGAGTTCAGTATTATTTTCAGATCTAGCTAAATTTTTAGATACTCCAGTAAAATTATTCTTTCTGAGAGTATATCTATTCTAGTTTAAATGCAAGTATATTCTAATATAATACAACTACAAAGAAAGCGTCATCTGTCTCTTTTTCTCACCTCTCTCTCTCGCATTGTAATGTATTCTCTTGCTCTTTCTCTCACTTCCCGACTCATTCTCCCCCGCTCATTCTTCTTCCTACTTCCGTGTGTTCGATAGAAAGTCTTCAAACACGGGCACCAAATACGACAGACATGGGGAGAGGAAAATTTACATTAAATTTACATACATCTACGCGAAAATAACTCTTTCTCTTTCTCAAGCAAAACAACAAGTCATTGTGATATCAAAATGATATGTCAAAATTACTACAAAATGATTATCAAAGACTACTTTTGAATCATTTCTGATTCGTCTTAATGTCATTTTGATGTTATCATGACTTATTGTTATTCTGCTCAGATTCTTCTTTTCGAATTTTATTCCACTGCGTTCTGTGTGTGTGTTAATATAATATTACTGATATGATGACTCCTTTTATCTCCTCATGTGGAGCATAGGACGTCTACAAGCCTCTTCCACTTTTGTCCAAAAAAACTCATCCTAAAGATCGTGATATACTACTGAAAAAATATGGAATAAAGCTTTTCGGAGATTGTTTGGGACTAATGCCCTTACATAGAATGTTCATTAAATGTAATTAATTTTGAGGGTGGAAATTATCTTAACAAAACCATATGGAAATTTATCATGAGCCCAAAAAGAAGTATACATCATGCTCTAAATGTAATGAGTTTGAAGTCGAGAATATAAAAGATGACGTGGTATCAATGTAAAAGCGCCACAGGTGAAAACGTTTATATACGTTTATGTTTACGTTAAAAAAAAATAAGGTGATTCTATGATATGTATTCTAATCTGTCTCGCGATCATGACAATTCGCTGAACATATTCAGGATCACTTTAGATTTGATCGCAGCAAAGAAATAGGCAATTCTGTTATTTATAAAAATAATAGATTGATAATAAATGACTTGTTACAGGTTCGAAATGGCGCGCCCATCGTAAATTAATCGCGCCGACGTTTCACTTAAACGTACTCAAGAGTTTCATCGATCTCTTTAACGCCAATTCGCGTGCGGTGGTGGAAAAAATGCGTCAAGAAGGCGACAAGGAATTCGACTGCCACGACTACATGTCCGAATGCACCGTCGAGATCCTGCTCGAGACCGCCATGGGTGTCTCCAAGTCCACGCAAGACCGAAGCGGTTTTGAGTACGCCATGGCTGTTATGAAGCAAGTATCCAAATTGCAGATTTGACGAATTTGAGAATCAAGACAAAAAAAGGAAGACGTCAGGAGTTGTCTCGTATTCGGTTCATCTTTAATTGATTTTAATTGAAAATTCTCTAATCATATGTTCTAATTTTTTCTTGCGGCAAAAATATTTTGGATTTATAAAATCTTGGGGTTTTTTTCATGGAAATTTATAGATTTGTGTAAAAGAGCAACCAGTTTTCTTGTAAAATTTTTATGCAGTTTTTATTCCTTGAAATATTTGAATATTTTCATATTAAAGAAATATATATAAGACGAATATCTCGTTATCGTTTCCTAGGATGTGCGACATTCTCCATTTACGTCACACGAAAGTCTGGCTCAGACCGGACTGGCTGTTCAATCTCACGAAATATGGAAAAGATCAGATCCGTTTGTTAGAGATCATCCACGGGCTCACAAAGAAAGTTATCGCGCGCAAGAAGCAAGAATTCAACAGCGGCAAACGCAACGTTATCGAAGAGTCTACGCAAAATGGCAACGGCATCAAAGTAGATAATTTTTAAATTAGATACTTTTCAGAAATCTCAAAGAGCTGCATTGAGCGATGGGCTATTAACAAGTAATATATTGTTTTCAGAGCACCTCTGTGGAAGGACTTTCTTTCGGACAGTCGGCTGGTTTAAAAGACGATCTCGATGTAGAAGATAATGACGTTGGCGAGAAAAAGAGGCAAGCTTTCCTCGATTTGTTGATGGAAGCCGGTCAGAACGGTTCTATCCTGACAGACGAAGAGGTCAAAGAACAGGTCGACACTATTATGTTCGAGGTAGGCGTGACTCTAAAGCTAGTATTCATAGTCGATTCATATATTTAATATTGTCTCAAGATATCAAAAACCAATCAGAGAGAGCCGTATTAGTATCTGAAGTCATTATTTAAGACCATCTTGAAATAAGAACGGATTATAATTACTGCGGCCTGACTATTTTGAGAGGATCGATTCTAATTAATAACCCATTTGTCTGTTCTGTCATTAATTCTCTTAGGGACACGACACGACCGCAGCTGCATCCAGTTTCTTCTTGTCAATAATGGGCTGTCACCCGGACATTCAGGAAAAAGTTATCCAAGAACTCGACGACATCTTTGGCGACAGCGACAGGCCTGTGACCTTTCAGGACACCCTGGAGATGAAATACCTCGAACGATGCCTCATGGAGACTCTTCGCATGTATCCTCCCGTGCCCATCATCGCGCGTACGATCAAAACCGACTTGAAACTCGGTAAGTTCTTGAAGCTAGGATGTCTGCATGAAAAGGAGGCACGTTCTTCCGTGCATGTGTATAACTATTATAATTTGAGATTCCCAAACTTCAAAATTCGAGAAATTATCATTGCTTTGGACCAATTGGGCGCTACGCGAATATTATCCAACTCCGAGAGATGAAGTGTGCATTATCAACTTCTTTGATGAAATAATTTGTTGTAATTCTAAAAAAATATACCGATTACCGTTTTAGCATCGGGAGACTATACGATCCCAGCTGGGAGCACAGTGGTAGTGACGACCTTCAAAATGCACCGACAGCCACACATCTATCCAAATCCGGAAGTTTTCAACCCCGACAACTTCCTGCCGGAAAAGACTGCCAATCGGCATTATTACGCCTTCGTGCCGTTCTCGGCTGGACCGCGTTCCTGCGTGGGCCGTAAATACGCCATGCTGAAGCTGAAGATCATCCTGTCTACGATCATGAGGAACTACCGCATCAAGTCAGACATCAAAGAGTCCGATTTCAGACTTCAGGCCGACATCATCCTCAAGCGCGCGGAGGGCTTCAAGATCAGAGTGGTGCCGAGAAAACGGGCAGCCGCCACCGCTTAAAGCGGCATCTCTTCGTAGGGTAGTTTTGGGTAGAGGACTTAGAAGAGTACCGAAGAGAGCAGGAGGCGAGCCGCGAATTTCAACCTCGATCTCGCGGTGGCCTCTTCGAGAAATCGCATCTCGTTCGTGCGTAAAACAAACGCTATCCGCGCGAAGTTACATGTACATGTTGTATATTACTGATTCCATCGTTGTATAACGCACATTTTTATCGCTTTGATACGTTGATATTTATATCTTGTGCAATAAATGCGGCACTTATCGCGCCGCAAAACCTGATAACCGACTATTCCTCGTTCCCGATCACGCGACTGCGGGAGATGAAAGGCCGACTCGAGAACGTGCAAAGGCGTGACTTAGAAACGCTCATGAGACAGGTTCGAAAGAGCATTCCCGAAGGATTGTCGAAAGTCAGTCCTAAGATCACAGAAGCCACGACCATCAAAACTCTCGCGGGAGCCCGATCGGGAGAGATGGGGAAGGTTAAGGACGTGCTGAAGGCGATGCTTCCGATATTAACACCTTCAGAAGTGAGAAGGTCGCTTTAGTTTTTTTTTTCGAATAAAAAGTATATCCTCTCAGAACGATTCTTTTTTTCCTACCAGATTCTTTCGTTTCACATAAAAACGTGTCGAATAGTACAATTGATGCATAATTAATGTATCAATATCGTAATTGTTACAAGAATAATTTTATTAATATTGAAATCAAAGGAGAGGGCTGAACTGAATAATATTACTCCTCTATTTTTTTCCTCGATTGCACGTGTCAAACATTTTTGAGGTGCCTCATTATGACACTTATTTATACGCCATTTGCCTCGATTATTCTTTCCTTCTTTTTATAAATTATAAACGACACATAAATATGCCATCAAATTCGTTCTTTTATAATTGATATCAATCTATCTTCGAGTAGATTCCACTTACTACCTCATGAAGCGATCATTGATGAACTCGAAGAAGGCGACTATAAGGAATCGATCGGATATTTGAAAGAATTATTCGAACTCGACGAGGAGATTCGTAGAAAGGCTGGTCCTGGTACCCGAATATGGGAGAAACCGCGCTTAAAGAAGAATAAGAACGCGATGTCACATCTCAGAGGTGGTTTGATCGCTGTCGAGCAAGCCAAAAATGCCGGTGCGAACTAAAATTAATGTATATGATACTCGAATATGGAAAGAACTATTTTGTTGAAACATTAAAAGATTTAGCTAGATGCAGTTATAAAATTAATCAACAATAAACGACATTAAATTGCATGTGAATATACAACTATAAGTAACAAGATTTTATCAGCTGTATTTTTAATGCTATTATTTCTATGTAAATTTATATATACATTCAGTTCTGTATAAACTAAAACTAAAGGATGGTATATGTCATAAATTCAATTGACAGGCAATTTAATGGTATTAAAACTAATACGAATTTTAAACTGTATATAATTTTGGAAATAATTTTCTGAATAATTTAAATAATAAATTTTGTCAGAAAACGTCCAAGCTGATTACTCTAGAATACAACAATTTTTTTACAGTATTGCTCATCATGCTTGTGACCTCCTTAATTATTTTGATTGAACAAAATTATTTTCGGATTTATTTAACTAAATTTTTCAATACTTTAACAAAATCTTATCGTATAGAATCTTTAACGTCACATTCATTTGCAAGAGCGAAACCATTTGTTTTCAAAATGGTAATTAAATATTACAATTGAGTATGATAATTCATATCGTCGAACTTTGACATTTGGGACGAAAGTACAAAGTACAAGTATCACGGTCAAAAATTTTCTGAATAGGAGACAATATTTCTGCGGTAGCAGAATTTCTGAATATGGCGCTGTCTTTTCAAGCAATGACTTGGGAATGGTGGTGGGTGGCGGAACGACTTTATCGTAGCGCTCTGGAGAACGCTGAACTAGTCGAGGATGACAGACAGCAGACGAGAATTTTCGTACGCTATCTGTACGGCCGATTTCTATTCGAGCAAAGTTAGCGAAACACTTTATACATGCAAATTAACACACGAAAGAATTTAGCAGATCACGACTTCCTGTTGACTTATTTCTGCATAAATAGCCATATCGTTTCAATGCTTTATCCGCATAATTACATACTATCGTTTCAATATACAGTTGATTATTATTAATAAAACATTTAGTGTATACTGCACGTGGTATATTGCGATAGATTACAAATTGATGACTATACGTTCAGCAGAAAAAGCAGCACAAACACTATAATAATTGGATTATATCTTTGTATCTATAATATAAAAATAATTACATCTCATTTAAGATCTAAAAGTACATATAATCCAATTAATGTGAAGCTCTTATTAAATTGCTTTTCTAAACATAGCCGATCATTATAAGTCAATATTATAATAAATTAATAGATACTAATACAATTATATTCGCGCGGTACAATCTCAGTACAGGATACGACAGGATCACTGTATCACTTAAACATCGCACGTGAAGCGTCTCAGAAGAAGCCATGGAATGCGTCGAAGATAACTGGTCGAAAAGAAGAGACCATCTTTCGAGAATGCAACGTGCTTTTGTACAAAGTATTACTAATGCACGCGCAACAAGTCGGCTACGATCAACCGGACGTCGCTGTGAAAGCGTACACCGAAGCTCTCGCACGAGCGACGGACTGTGAGCTGTTTTTTATTTATAAAAATAAAAAAGATAAGAGGAATAGAAAAATATTCGCCCATACCGAGTTACTTCTTTCATCTTGAAAATGTTAGCCTATTACTTTGGAGTTCGTTCTCTCGAAGAAATAAAATTCAATTTTCACCGCATTAATTCGTCTCTCTTTCTTTCTCAGTAATTTTCTTAAAATTATAAAAAAAAATAGAGAGACCTGCGAAATATCATTAATCAGCCTCACATCCGCAGCTGGACATTACGAATACACGGCAAACGCTCTGTACGAGCTGGGGATGAGTCAGTTGCGATCCGGCGACGTGAAACTCGCCTTCCAGAACTTCTCCAAGTTCATGGCGATGACTAAAAGAATCTCGGACCCAGAGGGGATTTGCAACGCGCACATGGCGATGGCACTTACGTATAAGTTAGGTGTTACGATAGAATAACGAACGTGTGGAAAACGGCAAATAAAAAAAAAAAATTCGAACTCTAATCTATATTTTGCCATCGCACATGCGTGCACTTATTATGCGATCATTTTGAAAAAAAAAAAGACCTCGAATTTTTTATATAGTTCTTACGAGCAATTCACATTTGCAGGAATTGAACGACGACATAAACACGGAGAAGCACCTCCGTCTATTCATGACAAGTGCAATCGAATCTGGACTCACGAGAAGAGTGGCACAGGCGCACTACTGCACAGGCGAGCATTTTTTGAATAAGGTACGGAATCGCAAAAAAATGGGGGAGGGAATAGAAATGACAAGATTATCGAGGAATATCTTATGTGAGAAATTATTACATTTTCCTGAATTTTTATATTGTACAGAATGACATCAGAACGCGCTTGTAACGACAGCGCATATTTAGCATATATATATATATATATATATATAT